CAAAGTAAGATAGAAAAAACTGCTATGGACGATACAATAGTTTATGCTTGAAGCAACTATTTTTCGAGATTCACTGAATTGCTTTTTCGAATAATAAAATACATTTTTCTACACTTTGAAGCGTGCTCTACAACGTAGCGTAGACGTTAGTGTCAAATTTTGAAATAAAAACTTAATGTCTAAAGTAGCGCGTTACGTGGACAAGCCGAGAAACATTCTAAAAACAAAGTTTTTTGAAATAGTTACTTCGGAACGACTAAATTTATTTTCTGGATTAGATAATAGTTAGACGATTAACGTTTGATTTACATAATCTTTTTATTTTGGTGGATTGATATATATGTACCATATTTAGTCTCTCATTTCATGAACCCTTTTAGATGTGAATCTAATATTTTTGTCTTATCCATTGAATTCGTTTTATTGGATGTACAATAAAAGAATATTTATTTTATGTTGATAAATGTGTTCATGTATTTGCAGCGTTATTTTTAAGATGATTAACAATTCTTTTTGAATAGAAAATAAATTGATCTAAGCATCGAAAAATAAGATCTTAGATGAAGCTTTAAATAATATTATATTAAAATGAAGCTGATTTTTCATTAAAAATATTCTCACTATTCATAATTTTCTCTCTTCGTGTCTATTTACTATAATCTGATGAAATGATGTTTACCATCTTAATATATTGTTTATCATTATTTCAAATATTTTAATTTTCAATAGCGAAAATAAAAATTAGAGAAGATCATGGTAGTAAAAGATAACTTACAAGTAACTTTATCATTGGTTATTAGGTATGATCAATTTTATAAATGATTACATGGAATGTAAGTTCAATCATATTTTTATTGCTACTGATTTATGTATTCGTATTTTCAATAGGACATTCGAGAAACAAAAGTCATGAGTAGTTAAATGAATGCAATCATCTAATGTTTATAGTGATTTAAATTAAACAAAAAACAATTAGTCGTCAAAATTGAAAGTAATTTTTTTATCTTTGTTTGTATATTTCTAAACGTTTTTTTTTCTATTATAGATTGACTCTCTGTTCTGTTCGAGTACGATTTACTTGTTAATATGATGAAAATTAATATTTGGCAATCCACCTAAATATGTTACTGTCATTTTTTCAAATTATTCAATCGAGTATGTTAGGTAGTCGTAATAGCTCAAAAAACAATTGTTAGCTTTTGTGAATAGATAAGAACGTTTCTTTTAATAAACTAAATAAGATAAGAGAAAAATAGTAGAAAATGCTTGATTAAAACATATAAATAAACATGATAATTCACTCTTTTTTTCACACGCTCGAGGTGAGACGTGTTTTCGCCACCTCATCTGCCAACTCACGCGTATCGTGTGTTCGCTCGGGTTTCACAAATCAAATCTGCAAAATCAATATTATTCGTGATCAACACCACAATACAAATAAATAAGTTGTAGGAATGGAGGAGTACAATCGTTATTCCAATAAGAAGAAAGAAGAAAAAGATCTTTTATGTAATCATGAAACAATAAAAGAAGTTTATGAACAAAACAAGTCTACACATTCGACAAACAACAGCAGTAATTCCAAATCATCACTTAAAAGAACAGAAAGTAAAATGGAAGAAAGTCATTATGACTCTGACAACAATATGGAATTAGAGAGCCAAACGGATGACTCGGAATGGAAATATCAAAAGAAATCAACTAAACGTGGAAACAAAGCACCAAGAATGGATTCCTTTATCCATGGAAGAACAATAACATCGTCTTCATATAGTCACAATAGAAAGGAAAACAAATCATTACGTCACACCCAGGCACATATACAAAATGATGACGAAAAGAACGAAAGAAAAAATGACAGATGTCAGCTGGCACATATAGAAAATCAGGGCAATCAAGACCAAGAGGATGAAATTCAACTTTTAGAAATTACATCAGCACATCAACGATCAAACAACAAGGACTTAAGCCAAACAGGCAATCAACAAGAGCCGGATGGAATAAATGACATATACGTAACCAACCAGGCAATAAAATTTGCAGTTGAAGATAAATTTCCACCACTAAAAATTATCTGCAATCCAAGTTTAACAAGCAAAGAAGAAGCTGAAAATATTATTAAGGAATTCTTCAAATATATTGAACAAAATTTTAAAAAAACTAACCCTCGATTCATTTATCCTCTAGGTTTCGATCATTACATTATTGATAAAGCAGGATCATTAATTTGTTTCACAAAATACATTGAATTATTTACAAAGATGTGTAGTCCCAACCATTACCCAGAAAATATAAATAATATCAAACTAACACCTATATTACCGACGAGATTACCATCACGTAACGCAGTTATTTTGAAATTAGTTCATAACTCACTAAAATTAGATGATATACAAACACAAGTTAAAGAAAAAATGAAATCAATTTATAAAGTAGAAGAAATGCTGGGTACATTTACTTACCGTTCACGACATATTCGCGTTGACTTACTTTCACAAGATGAATATAGAAATATTCTAAACAGTGGTAAATTTGCAGTAGGAGGTCATTTATACGACATAGATGAATACTTACCTTCACCAAAGATCTTAATATGTAACAAATGCAATTCACCAGGTCATACTAAAAGAAGCTGTAAGGCAATAAATGAAATATGTAAAAGATGCGGTGTCAACAGAAACGATGGTGCTGACCACAAAAACTGTATTGTTAAATGTCATCATTGTGGAGAAGACCATGAAGCAACCAGCTTTAAATGCAAAACTATTATTAAATTTAGACAAAATCTCCTACAAAAATTAAAAGAAAATAATCATTTATTACCTCAACACGTTCAATTCTACATTCCACAGAAGTATCGTAATGGAAAAATGGAAAAAATCTTGATGAACAAACATTACGAAGCACATATTAATCAACAACATAAAACAAGTCCATTTTTTAATAATCCTGATGATTATAGAATGTGGCCTTCATTAAACCCAAATTTATCGTTGGCATCAAACACAAATGCGAACGCAAGATCATTATGGCATTTTGAACTAAAACAAATTCAGGAAGATTTGAATCTCATAAAACAGGAAAAACGAGATAGAAATAAAAAAATGGAAAACACAGCATGAAGAACATTTTAAACAAATCACACAAACATGTCAACTAATTAACTTACACTTCAAAACTCAAGGTGACGCTATAGCTGGTATAAACAATATGTTAACAGAAACATTACCACCAGTTATACAATCGATACAAACACTAAATCATTTAATACAAGAAACCAGTAAAATTATTACAAATGATAAAGAACGTCAACAAAATGAAATAACTCACAATGCAATCAACGTAACTTTATCTGCAATCAATAAACGTCTACTTTTGCTTACTGACAATCAAATGAAACTTAAATCTCTTATGGAAAGAGAGAACGAACTATTGGTAAGAAGTACAGATTCCATTTTCTTTCACATATAATGAACTATAATTTCCATTTTTCTTCACCGATTGTAAATAAGAACTTAGTTGACTCTTTCACAGGTACTAAAACAGAGAAAAAATTATTAACAGAAATGATAAATGAGTGGAACTGTAAAAGCTCAATCTCCAGCATATCAAAAAGGTGGAAAAAAGATCGACCTATCGAAACAGAAGAAAACTTAACCATAATTCTATATAACTGTCAGTGTTTAAGTACCCATATTACAGACATCGATATTCTTTTATCTACCCACACACCACAAATAATTATATTAACCGGAGTAGGTTCACAAGTAAATAACCTACCGAAAATTTCAGGATATTATTGGATTAGTCAAAATGGTGCTAACTCATTTGGAGGAGTGGCATTCCTACTTCACGATACTATAAAAGCCAAAACAATTAATCAAAAACTTGACTTTATAATTATTGAACTGAATATACAACCGAAACCCATACTGCTAGGCGCCATTTACATACCACCAAATAAAACTATACCTCAGTCCTTGTTAGATCTATACGTAAATGAACCATTCTTCATATTCGGTGATTTCAATGCCAAACATACCGATTGGTTATGCAACACCAATAATGCTAATGGAGTACAACTAAAAAACTGGCTAGATAAAACAGGCTGCGAAATGATTCACCCAACGCAGCCCACTTCCAAAAGATCATCATCAATAATAGATTTTGGAATTACCTATAATGCTAGCGGCTGGAAGGTTGAAGTAATCAAGGAAGGAACATCTGATCATTACCCTATACTATTACAGGCACCATTTTCAACAGGAGTTAACAAATATTTCAGAAAGACACATTGGAAAGTATTCACATATTTTCTGAAATGTATTTTTCCTTACTTTAATTCACTTGCTTACAACTACGATGCGGAAACTTTTCTTGAGCTTTTTTCATCATTCCTTTCTTCTGCATGGGATAAAGCCAGTCACTTTATACCAATTAAAAGATATAGGCCACCGTGGCCACCTTTCCTAACACAGTTAGAAAGAATTGTTAACAAAACAAGAAAAAAATATCGAAAAAGAAAAAACTACTCAAACCTGACTGAATATCTCTATTGGAAGCATTTATACTACAATGAGAAAAATACATACATACAAAAGAAAATGGAAAACCAACTCGCATACATCTCCCAAGAAAACAATATATGGAAATATGTTCACCCAACTTTTCATCCATATACACCATCTTTTAAAGGTCTTACCACAGACAATAAAATAGTAAAAGATCACAACGAAATAGTAAATACCCTTGCAGATCATTACGAAAAACATTTTGAAGCTCCCACAATAAATCCAAACAATCCATTTCATATTGATGCAACTCAATCATATAACGAATTTATTCAACTTACAAATATTCCGCTAGAAAGTATAACTCTCGAAGAAGTTGAAAAAAGTTGGAAGGCATCCAAGCGAAAGAAATCGACTGATACGCAAGGACTTTCGGCATTTCTATTACATCAATTGCCATCTGAATACTTACAAACAATAACAATTGCGTTCAACAAAATTGCACTAAAAGGTGATGTTATTAGCAGTAGCAAACACGCTAAAGTTGTATGCTTGTCGAAAGATGGTTTTTATCCAAGAGTTGACAAACTTAGGCCTATATCACTATTATCTAACCTCGGTAAATGCTTTGAAAGGATTATCCACGCACGTATACTTAAATGGTGCACTGAAAAGGGTATATTCGTTGATGAACAATCAGGATTCACGTCTGAAAGACGATTGCAAACACGTATCATGTCTTTAGTGGAAGATTTAAGACTAACAACAGCAGCAAACAATAGACCATCTCTAGTAATCTTCGTTGACTTCATGTCAGCTTTCGATAGGATGTGGCATCCAGCCCTTCTATCAACCCTTCTCAAACTTGAAATGCCTACTCCACTATTAAAGTGGATAATTCAATGGTTAAATGGAAGAACCATGTCAATACATGTTGGAGAAGCGATTTCAAGAACAATAAATATATCTGTTGGTACCCCACAAGGCTCGATTCTAGCAGCTACTCTCTTTCGTCTTCATATACACTTTCTTCCCTCAGTTTTTAAAAATATTGTTTGCCATTTATTCGCTGACGATCTAGCGCTTATTATCCCCGGCACGATTGAAAAAACATTTTCGAAAAATATTGCTACAATAGAAGGTCAGGCTACAAATACAATGAAACTTCTGGAAGAGTATGCTGATGTAATGATACTGCCGGTAAATGTCAACAAGACAAAAGCTCTACTCGTCCACAATATCGTTGTACCACCATATCCAAGAGTAAAATATAAAAATCAAGATGTTGAATTCGTTAAACGTTTTAAGTATCTCGGAGTTGATATAACAACTAAACTTGGATGGGGCATATATATATCAAAACGCATTCAAACCATTAGAAAAATCTACCACGCACTAAGAATAATTTTCAATAAAATACCTATAACACTAAGAGAGCTAAGAAGAAAACTATTTTTCGCGTTCGCACTTCCGCATATAATTTGGCTTTTCTCATGTTGGTTTTTCTACACTGAACATCAACAAAACACAATCGAGCATGTACTCTGCTCAGGATTACGACTAACACATAAACTAAATTTTTGGAATGACTTAACAGTCTATACGTTAGCAAGAGAGTACACTATAAATGACTACCTATATAAATACTGGCTCAAGTTCTTTAAACATCTGGAAACATCAACAGAAGCAAATCAATACCAACTTACATATATATCTTATCTTGCCTCAAAAAACCCGCAGAAAAGTTGGTACCTTTCTATGGGCATGAGAAAAAACAACAATTTTCTTAACAGACTATCTAGAAACGCGCAACATTCTAAAATAGATATTATAAACTTTTTAGCAACACAATCTAAGCAATATGGGTACTTTAAGCATGCATCCCTTCCCCTACATAATTTTATATATAAATACCTAATGCAGGAAACAATAATCGATATTACTCACGGCATAGCCACATAAAAGAAACCAATCAGTAAAAATAATGAATGTAAGGGAATATAGTGTTTTTATTATAACCTAAATCAAAAATTCACTTGAAATAAATATAAAATATAAAATAATGAATAACCCACTGACATGATTATCAAAAATGTAGTACAGTAAAATAAAATAAATCACTTTGATTAAAAATTAAAGACATTCCATGATTGAACTTATTACAGATCCACTCACATCATACCTGTTGAATAAATCCGTTAAAAAGATGTCGCTAATCTATAATCTAAAGGAAAATAATCACCATCTACTTTGTTAAGTTAATTCCTCTAACTTCCTATCGCTCCTCAAATTTTGTGTTGCTATGTTATCGATATATTGTTGTTATATTTTTCTTCATATGAGCTGCTATAGTATCTGTTATATTATTATTTATTTATTTGTTATACTGTTTAATTGTTATAATATTTATCTGCTTTACCATTTATCTGATATACTATTTATTTGTTATACGAATTGATGTAAGTGTATTTCTTTTACAACATCATTTACAACATCATTATACACTGTACGCTTTTTTTTTATCTCCTTGAAGACATGTTTTTTTTTTCTTTTTCACAACTCGCTTTTTCAACTTGTCAACCTTTTCATAGGGGACAATAAACTATTTATGTTAAAAAAAAAAAATTGTTTAATACAGTCTCAATTGGTGACACACGATATTCTTGTTCTAATGGTAGACCAATGTAAAATTCGATTTGTAATGGATTTGTAATTTCATCGCGAACCCACTGTCCGAATGTTCTATTCTTTGGATCAACTCGTCGGACGAGCTCATCTGCTAACCAACCATAGGTTAAAGGATGATAATCATGAGCTGTTCCAGGTGACCATTGAGGTTCTCGCTGTTCTAACGTACCAAAGTCACTCCATCCTGCCTCCGGATTCAGCCGGGACCCGTCGGAACCGGCACCGGATAATACCGGAACACGGCATGATTCCCACTCAAATCTACCAGGATCCGACAGGGATTTCGCCGGAATCTTTGCTCCCGGAAACCCCGACGGAATTCAAAGGAAAATGATCCGGTCGTTTCCTGCCGGATAATACAACCGAACATTGTCGCAACCGATCCACTCGGACTACCGGATGATGCTGGTTTCACAACGGCTTCACCACATGTTTGACCGGATTCCATCCAATTCCGAAGACAAGGACCTCATAAAAAATCTCTCATACAAGCGTTCTTTAATCAAAACATGAATCAACTGTAGTCTTCAAAAACACGCACACCAACCGAAACAACTACGCCTGATTTATAATCACAACATAATCCAAACCTCACCGCTCAAACGGGTGCACAACAAGCATTTCTCCCAACAGCAATCGCCCTAAACAAATTGTAACCCGAAAACAACAACATCTGGCTCACTAATGCCCACACTTAGAATAATCCGAA